AGATGTACTATTTAGTCGATTCCTCAATTAATCGAGAATCAAATTACGTGGGGGGCTATATAATCATTTGGTAAATCAAAAAAGATTGCTTTCTAATGATATATGGTAATATGAACTCTTTAAGTTATAAAGTTTCTTTCAGTTCTTATGAAGTTTAATATGTAAAGTTATTCGCGAGATGATTCAATTTAATTGCCATTATTTTTCTTTTATTTTGTCCAATATGTGAACTCCTCAATGGGTTCCTCATTAATAAGTACTCTCATTAATAAATAGCTCACCATTAATCGAGGCAGGTATGACTTCCAAAAAATCAAACCGACTAAATTATCCTAGTTTCTTTGGCATAGCAAAAATCATGGAATGCTCCTTCCATTGCAACCAATGTTTTAAAACGCGCATCGCGCACTGCGTCACGTTTTGGTCCTTATATTGCGTAGCGTAAATAGCGTAGCGCATTGCGTAAGTTATTCGGGCAATTCACTTTTAATGTAAAAAATAATACATATAACCATACAAGCGAACAAATAATTAAAATGGTCTTAAACCATAAATTAACTTGGGCATTGAATATAAAAAATGACATTCATATATTAATTCTTCAAACAACCAAACCAAAGTCTTAATGTTTAAAGCAGAGACTCAAAATCTTAAAATGATCGGTGTTATCCAATTGAATTTAGCTATCATCGTCAATTCTATCAAAGTTATGGATAATTTCACTACAAAAAATAATTTGTACAATTTCACCAAATTCTTGCATCTCCTCATCATTAGGAGAAACAATGAAGTGTTCATCCCATTTCACTTTTGAGCTTAGGAAACATAAACATCACATTATTCTAATAGTCCAAAAGGTCAATTATAACTATATTGATATCAATTTTTCAAATAATTTTTTTTTTTCAAGATAAATACAAAACATGATCTAATCACTCAAATTCGCCATAGGAGAACTTACTCAATTTTGTGCCCTACGTTTTTTTTTTTTTAGTTTTTATTATTTTATTTTTTATTTTTTGCCTATAAATAAGGATTGCCCAAATAGCGTGAGAAATAGCGCAAATAGCGCAAAATATAGCGTAAATTGCGTGCGCTTTTCTGGAACTGCGCGAAATTATATACGCTATGTCGCGTTTTTTGGTGAAAATGCGCTATAGCGCACTACGTAGCGCGCGAAATTGCGCTATTTAAAACATTGATTGCAACTGATCCTTAGGGCATCTCCAATGGTAATAGTTATTACTAGCTATATGGTCAGCTGATGTGGATGTGAGAGATAATAAAAATAATTATTTTACACTATTGGACACACATACTCCTCTCACATAATCTTGGGCTACGTGAAATAGATAAGCTATTTGTTAGTAGCTAGTGACTACTTTCTCTCTTACTTTTCCCCTGTCCACGTCATAATAGTTAGCCAAATAGCTAACCATTGGAGCCGCCCTTAATGCTTAGTTCTAGAAACAAGTTTTAAACATTTGGATAAGGCCCAAGCCACCAACTACACCAAATCATGCATCAAGCACACATCATTTTTGCATATGAACAACCGGTGTCGAACTAAAAAATACTCATTTATAAACCAAGTATCATTTTTAGAAGTTGAACTCACATATATGTGCAACCCAATCTCGTACCAGCCTCCTTCCTCATCAGTCCATGCCGCCACCTGGTCATAGGAAAAAGAGTGAAATATTTGACAAAAAGGATAAGCTACAGGAAAAATGGATTTGTGAAGTACATAACCAACCTTTCCCCCTAAAACACACCTCGGTTCCTAATATAGGTTTATGAACTGCATCTACCAAATATTTTGTTGTTGACAAACCAGCCAAACCTACAAAATCAATTTTAACAAACATTGGAGAGCAGACATACTTTCTAAACAGATAACTTCCTCTTAGATCTCGACAAAAAGTCATGTGCATCTAAAATCCTCAATTTATGACCGAAAGCGTCACTACAAGTGACTGAGAGTTCATGTATTCTTGCAGAGAGTGTGAGCTCAAAATACTGGTTGTATTATTTTTGTTATTGTTGTTGCTTAAGTTAACAGCAAACATGTGCCCAAATTTCTCAATTTGATTTCAACAGGTGAGCCAACCTCTTTTCGCCATTGCAGAATTTCATCAAGCATGATGTACCAAACATTTCAATCAAAAAATACATTTTTTCCAAATAATTGGCAGAAAGAACAAGTCTCACAAAATGACAATCTCAACTCAGACACAATAGAATAGTACCATGAGCAAATAGCAAAGCATTAAAATTTAAAAACGTTTCACTAAATTCTTCAAGCATGAGAGAAAAATGCTACCTTTAAACTCCAAAAAGCTATCAGTTTTTTAACTTTTGTCGAAAGAAAAACGACCCTTATACGAAACAGAGTGAAACAGACTACTAATCAATCATAACATCAAAATGCTTCATGTGGATAAATTAGAGCAGCCCTTCAAGAGAAACCATATGCAAGGGACATAAGATGCTACCTTTGGACTGCAACAATGGTCAGAAGTTTTATAGTTCAGCAAGTCTTTTCCATGAAAATTCGACGAGCGTCGAAATTTTGAGAGAGAAATAATATTAAAATTTAGAGAGTGTTTTCAAGAAACAGAAATAGAAAAAGAATTAGTTGGGCAAATGGAGTGTGAAAGGTGTGGCATCTTAAGAATTAATAAATTATAGTGGGAAGCAACGATGCTGCTCTAGCAGTTTGCAAGGCTACCAATTTTCTATCCTCTCTCTTGCATGCTTTCATTTCTTGCTTTCAATTCTTATTATGATTGGTTTCTAATCCACTCCAGCATAATTTTTCCTCAACTAAAACAACACATTCTTCACAATACTTTCAAAAGATCATCCGAGAGAGCATTAATTGTGAGCTTAACATGGTCAAAAACAGTACACTTCAAACTTCAAACCATCACACATTTGACAGAAAATTCACACAAGGGTCATCCAAAAAAAGATCTTTCAACCAATCAAAAAACAACAATTTGCAAATAAATTACATCATAGTAAAAAATAACCAAAAAAAAAAGAAAGAAAGAAAGATCTATTATTACCTGGTTAGAAAAGAAAATCCATTTCCCAGGATGATGCTTCTTGGGCTGGACCCAAGAATTACAGGGGAAATGCACAGGCCCACATGCAAATCCTTCAATTGTGATGCTCTCTACGAAGAATTGTTGCTGGTGTTTATTAGCCACAGTAATTGCACCTGGGACACCAAAATTTGAATCCACCACAAATACTGCTTTGTAATTTACTCTCTGTTTTGAGGTTCGATTTTTTGGACCAATCCTCTAGGATTGCTTCATTGCTCCTCGTTGGAGCCTTGGTTTCTGATAAGTGACAAGGATGAACAAAGCTCAAAAACAGAACAACAATACAAGAAATAACATAAAAAAAAAAGGCACATTAATGTTTAATTTAGTAAATTTGGCCCAAGTTAGTAAGAAAAAATGTCTTGCATGCAAAAAAATTTGAACCTATAATTAATTCACTTTAATTTATCAGCAATATCCATCATCTGCAGCAAATACCATAGAGTGACCACTAATGTAAAAGGCAAAAACATTAAAAAAAATAAGGGAAAAATGAATAAACCCACACACTCACTTGGATCAATATCAATGCTGATAAGCTCCAACACAACATTTCTCCCAATCTTGTCAGCAAAAGCATCCAAATTTTTTACCAAAGCCTCATTAAAATCCTCTTTGTTCTTGTTCCTCACTGTAACAACTGCCTTCACCTTAAATTTCACTGCCTTTTCAGGCACAACTTTCACCAAATCCAAATTCTCACTAATTGCTGCAACAGGGGTTGTACTCTTCACAGCCCTGTTCACCACCGGTTGTACCCTCCTCCCTCCATGGGGCAAAAAAAAAAAAAAAACGGTTCTTTGGCCGGTTCAACAACAGCCGAGAAGACGAAGCATCTAGAAACGTAGATCTTTCAATCAAAGAGAAGCCCATGATTTCTCTTGCTAGTGCCATGATTTTAGCTGTAAAAAAATTGAATCTTTTTCAATAAAAATGGGATCTTTATTAGTTTTTTTTTCTATTTCCTGAATGAACCCCTTTTTTTTATTACTATTTTTTATTTTACTTTTCTGTGTGTGATTGTGTGCGAGTGTGTATATATATGCCACAGGGTAGTCGCAAAATAAATCAATTTTGCACAATGCCCTACCAGCAATCAACAATAACACCATCAACGTTAATTGACTTAAGGATCCTCAACTGGTTAATCAGATTGTCTGGATCAGTCAACTCACACTCCATGATGAATGGTACCCAGTTAATTCCAAAACGAAATTTAACAAACAAAAGAAAACGGAATAGAAGTATGATGCTGTCCATATATTTTGAACAACTCAAATGAAGGAAATTAATTATAGTGAGAGCAAATGGAATTATATTGAGGGTATAATCTTGCAACTCACAGGTAGCATCACATAAACGGGAACATATGGGATGAGATGTCAGTGTAAAGTCTTGCTCCCGGACCTTCAGAATGACTCCAGTAACCTTAGGGAAAGACATCGAAGTTAAAATACAACAAATAACTAAATCGGAGCTGGCTTATCAGTAAACAATATCATATAACTTGACAATTGCATATACGCAGAGCATGAATGAAACTGCTAGATATGTCCCACGTCACAAAAAACACTTAAAGATTTATAGTTCTAATAACAACATAACATCCAGTGTATCACCAGACCATTTCACACATCAGATTTCTAATTCACGATCATCAAACAAACAAATTCAATCCCACCGTGAGGTCGCGCCGCCATGAGCTTCTCACCGTCGATGCACCATTGACCCAAGTATGTAATACTTCAACTTTTTTTGCTCGTCTATTCACTATTGCAAATCGCGTCGGCTCATCGACTCGCCGTGAACTCTCTCACTCAATTACTTCGTCACCATTCGATGATGCTGGAGATGCTTTAAGGGAGATTAATGTTTGGTGTTTGAAGCTCACGTGAAGGGTGCAGCACGATCTCCCACTTCAGTAAACATCCCCAGCTTTATTCGGCTTCTGGTAAGGAAAAGACCCAATTTCCCCTTTGATCCTACCCTGATATCCACCAGCAAGCACTTAAGCTTAGCAATCTCAGCCTCCAGTAGGGCTTGTTCCTGCAGCCTCTTCATCAACTGCTGGTTCATGGCCCAAAGTCTCACAACCTCATCTTCCAGGGAAGCAGTTCGGGATTTTTTCTTCTCTCTGTGCTTTCTTACAGCTTAACGGTGCCCAAAGGCCGTTTCTTGCCATTTTTCTTCGGTTGTGTCATCACTGTGCGGGTTCTCGCTCGAAGAGGGCATAATTTTGGTGTGTACATGGATGTATGGGCGTGGGACCTGTCAGGCCCAAACGGGTTGCAGGCGTGGGCATGGTGCAGGCCTGAGTCCAGCCCAGAACATCGGTGTAAGCCTCCTTGCGGCCAAGGGCATCATTGCAGGATTGTGTTCAGCCCAGGAACTCGTCTTTGTCGAACAAACAACTGCTCTGAGCATTTGTTAAGTCCAGGTAGGACATCATTTGATTGCTCGAGAAATAGAGTTCGTCATCATCTATTTTTATTTTGTTTAATTTCTACAAGGGTCAAGGAACACAGTTCGTATAAACTATAAAGTTCATTTGACACACACACACACACATACATCTCGGCTAAATAAACTATAGCGAAAATAGTTTCTAGTGGATCTATTAAATTGCTTGCACCCTTTACCTTCATCAACGCCACCAAATTCAAGTTACACAAAAATAACCGTCTACCATGCTAAAATAAACACCTATAGCCAGAACTTAGTACCTTATAACACCCACCTTTTACCTTTTACCTTTAAATTTTTAGTCAATTTAACTGATAGCCCAAGAACATTTAACAACCGACCAAAATAAACTAAACAAAAGAAACACAAAGAAATTGCAAGGAAACAACCTGAGCCACTGCTCCACAAAGAGAATAAATCAACAAGGCAAGTAAACTCATGCTGCAACAACAAAAGGCTAAAATATATAAGTTGCAATATGCATACCAAGTGCTTGTACAAATGCCCGAGTAGGATTACAACCAGAAAAAAGGAACTTACAGAGAGTTGGCCGTCGGGCTCGAACTGAAAGTGGCGGGCCACAGAATCGGAGGTCTCGACAGTGAAACGCCGCCGGAAGCGGACATTTGGTTCCTTCTTTTTTCGTCTTAATTATAAAAGAAAATATTTAGGGTATGTTTGGTTCAAAAGAGGGGAGGGGAGGGGAGGGGAGGGGAGGGGAGGGAAGGGAAAATAATTTATCTTGTTTGGATGGATTTTGTAAGAGGGGAGGTGATTGGTTAGAAGATGGAATGGGAGGAAAAATAATGTTAGAATGACAAATATATCCTTAATGAAGTAAGGAACAAAATAAATAAAATAATTCACAGTAAGGTCAAAAGAGTAATTTGTTGTTAAAATTTTCTCTCCCCTCCAAATTCCCTCACTTTTGGAGGGGAGCACATTTTCTATTGGAGGAGGGAATTGAAGGGAAAATTTAAATCCCTCCCCCTTACAAAAAGTTGAACCAAACAAGGGGAAATAAAATTTTCCCTCCCATCCCTTCCCCTCCCCTCTTTTTCCCCCGAACCAAACATAGGCTTAGCAAAATCTGCTAACCACAAAGTTCAATCGTGCAGAAAAACCCACAGAACTTCTACTTCTACAACCCACACACACACACAAATAAAAATAAAACAATGCCCAAATAAAGCCTTTTTTCTTCCTCCACGAAATAACCATTACAACAAACACAACAATAATAATTCAAAACATACCAAAGGCTGAGGAAAAAAATCTTTCGAATTGTCTGTGTCTAAGCCAAGCATGGATATTGCCAGTCATAGCTGCGTTCGGAGTCGCCCGCCCATCCAACGTCACTCTCACTAACGACGCCCGCGTCAAGCGGCCTTTCATCCGTCTCACGAACGACAACTGAGTAGGTAAAGTAAAGAGAAAAGGCGAAGGGCGAACCAGTTCTCGATCAAAAAGAAAAAAAACTGAATCCATCTTTGTTTTGTAAATTTTGTTAGGTCATATTTTAGGGGAAAAGTCGAGGGACAAATGACGTGGGAGTTGTGCAATGGCGTGTTGCAGCAGGTAATAAATTGCCATCTGCCAGAAATTACCATAGCAACCTCAAAAAGGAAAAGCAAACGGGGGTATTTCAGTCTCGTGAAAGAAGCAAAAAATTGAATGAGACGGTGAGGGGCTTTGACGTGACGGGAAGACTTATGGACCAAGAAATAATTGTCAAATGACCATACTATCCTTAAAAAAGTAAAGTAAAGCATGAATATTTTGGTAATTTTTTAGTCAATTAAGCATGAATATTTTGCTAATTTTTCATAATTGACTAAACCAGCTCATCAATGTAATGTAATGTGGAGAAACAAATGGCAATGTTGTAAAACTTTGGGACACGTGTTGCGCTAAGAAGGGCATATAATGGACACATGCCGTCTTTTAAAGGGCACAAACTTATTCATATATATATAAGAGAGATATTATACTATTATAATATATATGATACAATATAATATATATATATGTATACTATTCGGTCGGTTCGGTTATTTCAAACATTTGATGTCCGAAAACCGACACCGACCGAAAGAACCGAAAACTCATTCGACTAAAACCGAAAACCGACCGAGTCGGATAAAAATCGAACTGAAATTTTCAGTTCAGTCGATTTCGGTCGATTTTCTTGATTTTAGTCAAATTATGCACACCCCTAGAGTCCATGCAGCTACAAGCCTCTCCCATTCAAGCTGGAATATTGTCATGTAGTGCTTGTGCTAGGTGTATAAGGTTTTAGTGCACTTGTGTGAAGAACCAATAGAATAGCTTACCATGTTTCCTATCCATTCTACCCTAGGTACTATATATAGCATGTAAAGGGTCAGCCGAAGATAAGAAATATACACTATATTCCATATGAACAAAAGAAGTTTGTATTGATGTGAACTTTACAGGTTGAAGAAATTATGAGATCCATTTGCTATTTTCCTTTACATGTCTTTGTCATGCTTTTCCTTGAAATTTTAGTTTTTTCTAATAGGCTGGGCTTTATTATAGTTCTCCTTTTGCTTAACAAGTATAGCTGAAACGTTATTTTAAACTTTGAAAAGTTATGTGTATGCAATAAGCTTATTATGAAATGTAAAAATTTAGATAAAAGTGAACAAGCAATTTTTTAATGTAAATTCTATGCTTCAAACTCTTGATACTATTTTCTCTTAAAAGATTTTTTACATCAACATTAGCATGGTCGGCCCTGATATTTTTCGGGACCATGGAGAAAATTGGGTAATGGGCCCTTTCTTCAACACAAACATTTAATTTCCATTAAATTTTTTTCCTCTATATATAAAACAAAGTAAAATATCACTAAATAAAAAACATTTCAAATTAAAATATGAATACAATATTGAGCCAATACATTTCCACCGAGGGCATTTCCACTACTATTACATCCTCCGATCTTGAGCACTTGGCACTTGAAATCTTCACCAAAAAGCCTATTGAAATAATTTGGAACTTCTTGCATTTTGAGAAGCAAAATCATCAACCATGTCACCAAAATCAATTTTTTCCAGCACTTCATTTTCAATGCATAATATTGCTAATCCATTTAATCTTTCTTGAGACATAGAATAACGCAAGTATGATTTTATCAATTTTAACTTTGAAAAACTTTTTTCCGCTGATACTACAGTAATAGGTATTGTTAACAAAATTCTATATGCAATATAAATATTAGGCAAACAATCTAAATATTTGACAAACTCAAGCACCTCCATGACTGACTTCATTTCTGTTGGTAAGCACATTTGTAGCACTTGCAATTCAGAAAATAAATCACTAGCATCGATGTCAATAATATCATTATGTTTCAGAGCATGCTCAAGATTAACACAATGTTCAGCAATTTGTTTTCATCCAATGAAGTTAACTTATTGTAATTAAACAAAAAATCAAATATATTTTCAAAACCTTCCAACTGTTCGAATCTACTCTTCAAGGATGAAATAGCAACATCTACTATGACAAAAAAAATAATTTATCCTAAATGACTCCTCAGCAGACAATGTGATATCTTCATGAATGTTTTCATCAAATTGCTTCTTCCTACAAATTTTATGTTTTTGTGGAAAAATAGGATCAATTCCCATTATACATGCAAGCTCTTTTGCTAATATCATAGAAGATTGGAAACCTTCATCTCTATATTTTTGAAAATAAAAAATCAAACCTTGCAACATACTTATAGCGTCGTCAATTTGCATATCCTCCGATTGCAATTTTTTGCTAATCAATTCATTTTTTTTCAAAATGTTATGCCATATAATCATGCCTAATAGAAACTAAAAATTTTCAAGTTCATGAGTTGCTAAAGACTCAGCCTCGCTCTTAGTTTTTGCATCTTCACTAACTCTAGATAACTCAAATAAAGCATCTCTTATTTCATTAGGTTGAGTTATTATGGTTGCAACACTATTAACATGACTTTCCCATCTTGTTGTTGATAATGGTTTTAATGTCAGATGATGAATATGATTTTGTAAGATGCTCCACCTTTTTGTAGAACTAGCAAATAAAGTATACATGTGTTGCACAACTCCAAAAAATGACATAGCTTTAACACATTAATTCGCCATATCACATATCGTTAAATTAAGAGAATGACAAGCACATGGCATATAAAACGCCCTTGGGTTGATTTCAAGGATTCTCTTTTGCACGCCTTGATGTTTTCCTTTCATGTTGAAACCATTATCATAACCTTGCCCCTCACATTATCAATTTCTAAATCAAGTGCTTTTAAAGTAGATTGTAGCTCATTAAAAAGTCCTAATCCAGATGTATCATCCACTTTAAGAAATTCAATGAAACATTCCTCCACTTTAATTGGGCATATTGACATATCAACACATCTTATTATCAAGGTCATTTATTCATTGTGACTCGTATCTGAAGTGCAATCAAGTATAACTGAGAAATATTTTGCTTCTTTCACTTTTTCAATTATAGCACTTCTCACCCTAGAACCAAGTAGTGAAATCAATTCATTTTGAATCTTATGACTAAGATAATGATATTGAATTTCTTTGTTCTGAATACGTCTAAAATGTTCTTGCATCACCAAATCAAATTCTGCAATCAACTCAAGTAAACCTAGAAAATTACCATTATTATTTTGATAAATCTTTTCATTATCTCCACGAAAAGCAAAACTACGCTTGGCCAAACATTTTACAACAGAAATGATTCTTGCTAAAACAAATTTTCAGTGCTCTTTCTCTTTTTTAACTTGAACTTGCAACTCTTTATCAATTGTTTCATTCTTTTTCAATCTAACTTGCAAATCAATCCAAGTTCTCATATTGTTGATATGCTCAATACCTTAAAAAAAGAAAAGAAGAAAGAAGATGGTTCACGCCGGAGATGATCAGACATGAATCAGAATGGTTATGAATATAGCTCGGAGTTGTTTTTTAGTCTTTCACTTATACGTTTCCAGTTACTCAAACCGTCATTTGCCAACAAACTATTTTTATTAACCGACCTAAAAAATTTGCAGCAAAAACAATATACTTTATTTGAGGCTTTTGAGTACATTAACCACTTTCTATCTTGATTCTCCCCATTTGGTAATTTTCTTGTATAATGAGAATATGAAAAATGTCTGCCAAACTCATCTATAGAAAACTTTATATTGCTCGCTCGTATAGGCCCTTTCTCAATCAAAAAATCTCTTATTTTATTATCAATATTTTCCTAAGTTTCAGGATCAGATACATCTAAACTATGATATTTTTTTTGCAAATTCATTTTCTTAGCTATATCAACTTTTTCATCATTCAAATCATCATTATCATCCTCTTGCATCCTTTCAGGCCCATACATCACATATTCATTTTGTTCTTCTTCTTAATCACTCAATTGTTGCAATTCATCATCGACTCTTAGGCATTACTACTAGTACCAGATTTAAAAAATTTATCAAGAGCCCCTCTTTGAGTTTTAATTACCTCATCAATTCTTTTTCTTTTTTTTTCGCTTTTCACATCCAGATGGGTATTTTCTAGGTATAGGTCCCATGTTTAAAATAAAAATTGAAGTGACAAACAATATTAGACAA